CATCTAACTAATACAAAACGAGATCCGAAAACTATTTTGCTCTACCTTGTACCGTTCTCGAAATATTCAATTTGTTAACTTTCACTCTTTATCATAAATCGCAGAATAGCCGATTGAAGGTACCTGCAAAATTAGTTTCAAGCTATCTTTTCTGGTTCTCGAGATATCCGCGATTTGCGAAAGGGACTATATATCGTTAAGGCCTGTTCTACAATACAGTCGTAAGCTGTAAGTCGTAAGAAATTGATCAATCACAGATAAATCACAGAAGAATAATCGATTGTGATTGGTCAATTTCTTACAACTTACGGCTTACGACTGTATTGTAGAACAGGCCTAAATGTAGAATATTAAAATAAGTCAAATGCGTATATTCGTAATTCATAAGCTTTATTGTAAAACCGCGTTTTCGGGAACTTTCCAAACACCGAATTAACATGGGTTTAACCTTTTTGCTCCGGGGATTTTTCCTTTAAAATTGACCTCGCATTTTAGCTGAAAAAGTTAATAATAACCTGCTACCCCCCCCTTTCAAAGTTAATTTTGAAGGTCGAAGAAGTAACCAGGATTTTTTTCAATTTTTTCCTAAATTTAGTGCATTAAATTGACCTTATAAACATCTATTACGTTCGCTTTTCTTGCTGGTCCATATATGGACCAGTCCCGGAGCGAAAAGGTTAATATATACTGCCTTAGATCTTTCTCTTCATCATTGTCACTTAACATCGGTCTGCTTTATTAATATTGGAATGCTTGTCACTTAACATCGGTCTGCTTTATTATTATTGGAATGCTGTTTTTTGGAGATTAAAATAAAAAAATTGACATACGGTAAATATTTATTATTTATATATAATCATAATAAGTAAGATTATTTATATATAATCATAATAAGTAAGATACTTATTTTTTGAAGTGATTTGAATCTCATTCTTGTTCACTGGTTTTCTCTTTTCTTTCCTTCCACGCTAGTAATGCCATCTGTAGGGAAACATGATGAAACTGCACGCTCCAGTGTCTAGCGGAGACAATGACGTTTCTTAACGTGATTTTATATACACATTTTGTTTCTCTTCCATTATCTCGGTTTAGAAGTCATAAACCAAAAAAACGCAATAATACTTTTTTTTAAACTGTTTTATTCTGAATCGATTGAGACTAAAAAAAAAGTGATTGGTATAGTCGTTCTTGAAATATTGCCCCGAGAAAATCTCCCCACTTCTCAATTGCATGAATTTCGCGTATAAGAGGCACAGTGTGCTCGCGCAGTTCGAGCGTTACTTCGTTGCGCGTGAACTTGGCGCGAGGCACTACCGTGCCTCTTGATAGCACCTATAAAAGACGCAACTAATAAAAGAAGAATAATTCAAATGATAAAATATATATTTAAAGACACACCGATTAAAGTATATCTGCTAGAATCGTTAACGCAGGAAATTGTCGACCCAACGAAAAAACAAAATATCTTAAAAGAATTGCATAATTCAGCAATTGGAGGCCACAAAGGCGTAACAAAAACTTTAAAACGAATACAACAATATTATTCATGAGACGGTATAAAACAAGATGTTAAAACCTACGTAAAAGCTTGCCATGAGTGCTAAAACCGAAAATTAGTTAGAAAAAAACCAAGAGCACCCATGTTAATTACTGATACTCCAAGCGAAGCATTTTAAAAGATAGCAATAGACATTGTAGGCTCTCTTCCGGAAACGGAGATAGGACATAAATATATTCTTACCACTGTTGTGCGGCAGTTTTTAAAAATAAAAGTTAAGTAGGTGAGACCATTGAGCAATGTGATGAAACTGTCATTGCTCATTGACCTAGTTAGGTTGCGGAGCAGCAGCAGTTCTAGGAAAAACTGCTGGTTGCCACAGGGTGCGGCACATCGCCGCATTGTCCGAAGTGCAACGCAGCATGTGTCGACACCGGCACCGGTAATTAGCACGGCCGTTGCTAGGACCCGTGGGCCTGCTGAATCGGCGCGATCGTAGAACAAAAACTCTGTACGAAAAGGCCACGAGCTGGTTTTTATGTAGTATATACTATTATAGCGCTAGTTATTTTCTACGTAACCGCAAAATGTTCGCTAATTAGTAAGCTTATTCACATTCTTAAATTGTGTTGTATACCTAAAGAAGGCTGCGTCCAATATTTTAATAATTGTTTTAATAACAACGTTACCCACACTGAACACCCGACAACTACACATCGCGAAGTTACATTTACACGCGTGCCTACCGACGGCAACAAATCTCCTCGACGTACCGAAAGAGAAGAAAACCGAAATAATGGGACTCGACGATCCCGTTTTCGTAACTATCAACTTACAAAAATGTAAACGCTAGTAAAATAGAGTATAAGCAAATATTTTTGTATTACCTAAATGTAATCGTTGTATGAATTAGTGCCTTTAGTATAAGAACTATTGTATGCAAATGTCAAAAGCATAAAACGGTGCTAGAACTCTAGGCTAATAAGTAAGACTCTAGAGATATTTTAGATTTTGTATTTTTGTATTAGTTTGTACTTTTTATTTTCTCTTTGAGAAAGATCTTCATTCTAAAGGGGGGTGTCCAAAAAGGTGTTACGTGCCGCGATCCCTGTCGCCGCTCAAGTTTACAATTTTATCTACTTCCTTCGTTGACACATACGACTCGCCGAAATCATAAACTAATAAATACAGCCCGATAAACTTCCTCTTCTTACAAACCCTCTCCCTGAATTCCTTCGTTGCCCGTTGCATGAATTTATGACTCACTAAAAGACAAATATTACGCCCTAAGAACGAAGGTCTAGCTCACACGTTTTTAGTTTAAGACAAAAGATATTCTCGCCGAGTCGAATCCCAGCAGGAGGGCCTCGCCGAGTCGGAGCGCCAAGCCCGGCGACAGCTGCTCTTTGGTTGGGAGCAGTTCCTGAGCGAACCAGACGTGGACGCTCAGGAAGTCGTCCGGGTTGTCCGGCCCCACTTAGAAGTGTGGTTGGACAATGGGGTCGGACGCCTCACATACCGCGTGACGCAGGTGCTTACCGGGCATAGCTGCTTCGGTGAGTACCTGTGTCGCATTGGACGAGAGTCAACGACGCAGTGTCACAAGTGTGGGGCGGCCAGTGACTCGGTGAAGCACACCGTGGACGAGTGTCTATGGTGCGCTCGTGAACGCCGAGAACTGACCGCCAAAATAGGTTTTGACCTCTCCCTGGAGTGCCTAATAAAGGCGCTATGCTCCAGGGAGGAGGAAGACTGAGGTGCAGAACGAAAGAAGGACAGACTCCCTTTCTCTCTGGGGAGACCCCGAAGACGTGCGCGAGCGAGTGGCGGGGCCCCCGTTTCCCGCGCTCGTCCCAGAGGACGTGGAAATCCGTGATCATCAGGGTGGTGGGCGTTGGTAGGAGCCGGCTCCTATCGTTAGCCCATCACCCTTACGGAGATGCGCCGGTGAGAGCGACGCCTAAGTAGAGATTTGCGGCGACCGTTATTTTTCCCGGGGTGGTACTGTCCACCTCGGGTGTTTGTTTTGTTTGTACAATTAAGTCGCCGCAGGACCGTGACGAGTTGAGGTGGGGGCCTCAGCTCGTCTTGCACGCGGTCCGTGTAGGGGTGACACTGCGGTGTGTGTCCCGTAGTGTCACCAAGAGAAAGTTTTGTACGTCCTGTACGTGAGGAAGAGGACTCGTACCTCTCTCTCCAGGAAGTAGTAAAGCTCCAGGGACCCGCGCGCATCCTGACACTGGAATCCCGAGTCCCTCCCTATCATGAGCAGAGAAGACACACCATAGGAGTTTTAGTGGGTACACCTCCTCCCGCTTGTGAGTGGGAGGAGGGATTCCCACATAACCCTGACTCTTCCCCCAGAGTCAGAGTATCCATAAAGGATTTCTCCCATGCAAAAAAAATGGTTCGCTCGTGGTTGTGTCGTCAGCAGGATTACGAGACTGGGCCTCAAGGTGGCCGTCCACAAGATGGAGGCCATGTGGTTCCACCCCCGGGAACGTCCGCCGCGGAGACTCAGTCTCAGAGTAAGTGAGGCACGGGTCGAGGTGGGTACTTGTTTTAAGTACCTAGGTCTATACCTCGACCCGAAATGGCGCTTCGAAGAGCACTTCGCCCGCCTGGCCCCTAGAGTTCGGAGAGTCGCCAACTCGCTGGCGCGTTTGCTTCCGAACCTCGGGGCCCAGCGGGAGAAAATCCGCCGTCTCTTCGTAAACGTGGTGCACGCGGTAGCCCTGTATGGGTCGCCGCTGTGGGCGGAAGTCGCAGCGAGGGCGGGCGCACGGAGCAATTTTGGCTTGCTCCGTGCAGCCCAAAGAGTAGTTGCTCTGCGCGTGATACGCGGCTTCCGCACGGTCGCCACGAAGACGGCGGGGATACTTCCCCTCGCCCTCCTCGCACAGATGTACTCGGCGAGATACTCTCGCCGAGTCGAATTGTTGCGGGAGGGCGTGAAGAGAGACAATATCCGGGAGGTCCTTGCCAACGCGAAGCGCCAAGTCTGGCGGCAGCTGCTCCATGGTTAGGAGCAGTGCCTGGACGAGCCGCGTGCGGCCGCCCAGGCAGTCGTCCAGGTGGTCCGGCCCCACCTCGAAGTGTGTCTAAAGCAAGGGGTCGGACGCCTCACCTACCGGGTGACACAGGTGCTCACCGGGCACGGTTGGTTTGGTGAGTACCTGTGTCGCATACAGAAAGAACCGACGGCACAGTGCCACAAGTGCGGGGCGGCCAGCGACTCGGCGCGGCACACCGTGGAGCAATGTCCACGGTGGGCCAACGAGCGCCGAGAGCTGACCGCCAAAATAGGTGCGGACCTGTCCCTAAAAGGCCTAATGAGGACGCTGGCCTCCAGGGACAAAGGCGAGTGGGAAGCCGTAGTCTCCTTCTGTTACACGGTAATAAAACAGAAGGAGGCTGCGGAGAGGGAGAAGGAGCGAGCTTTCCCCCCTCAAGGAAGGCCTCGGAGGCGGGCGCGAGCGGGCAACAGGGCGCCCGTTTCCCGCGCTCGTCCTCGGGGTCAAAGGCCTCCCTTTCATTGACATTAATTCCCCTCCCCCACTATAGTGAGGGAAGGGAGTCAGGGCGGCGGACTCATGGAAGAGACGGGTCCCCTGAGTAACCCGCAGCTTTCCAGAAAGGGAAACTTTAAAGTAGAGTAGGAGCGCGGCAGCCCTTGAGTGGAACCGTCCAACCAGGAGAGATCCTGCCGCGGAGACCGCGACAGGTCGGGGTGGGGGCCCCGACCTGTCTTGCACGCGGTTCTAAGTGGGGACGACGCAGCGACGTGTGTCCCGCTGCGTCGTCAAAGCAGGGAATGACAGAGGGGAAAACGCATTAAGTTCTCCCCTCCCAGTAGTTACAAGAGCCCGAGGGAGGGTCCCGGCAGAGTCCTTATTAGGAGTTCCGGGTTTTCTCTCCCTCAGACGGGCTGAGTAGGCACACCGTGGTGGTTTTAGTGAGTATACCCCTTCTTCCTGTGGAAAGAAGGGGGGAGTCCCACATAACCCTGATCCTCTCCCCCGAGGATTACGGTATCCGTAATGGATTTCCACCACGTAAAAAAAAAAAAAAAAATGGTTTGCTCGTTGTTTGCTTACGGTTGAACGTCAGATGGCTGACCAGGCTCTAGTAAGGCTTGCGGGTTCTCAAAAAGCAAATGTGCTCGGCCACCGAAAAGATAATCATTTATGGTTCGTTTATGGTTAATATGGTTCGTTTGTGGTTCGCTTATTGTTGAACGTGGTTCCTTTATGGTTTGCTTATGGTTATGCATGATTCGTTCGTGGTTTCTTTGTGGTTCGATTATGGTTAAACATGCTTCGTATCTTTTAGTGTTACACGATATGTCTATGTCAGTTGGACCACGGTATAAACTTTCGTATAGCTGCAATAAAGCAGATACATTTGATACACGAAGGAAAGTGCATCGTTTGCAAACTGTAACTTTAAATATGTGATAAAATCGATGACATCTAATATCCGACAGAAGTACATTTTGCAAAATTTATTATTCATATGTACCAATTGCGCAATCGTTATTTTCTACTACAGTAGAATCAGTTAGCAATTTGTGCTGACTTTTTTAATGTACTATAAAATAATATTATGTTACTTTAGTACGTGATCAAATTGGTATACTCTGATATCCGAGACACAATAACTGCATTTTACCATCATTTCGTTTTTTCCTACTACGCAGTTAGCAATATTTGCTGTCATCAGCATTTTTATTTAATATAGGTTTATGTTACTTTAATACGCAATCAAATCGGTAAAACCTGACAAAAACTGCATATTTTGCAAAATTTATGAGTTATTTCACCATCATTTTTTCTCTAATACACAGTTAGCAATTTTTTGCTATTATCAGCATGTTTTTATCTAATATAAAATAAGATTTCAGTCATACTTTTGATGTTGCGCATACTGCGTATAATGTTGCATACCGCGGCACATATCAAAATAAATATGTATAATCCACAGTTTCATTTAAGAATAAATCGCTAAAAACTGTAACACTGCACCTTTGCGCATACTGCATGTAATGTTGCATACCGCGGCACATATCGAAATAAATACGTATAATAATATTTTTCATCATAAATAAAATTTAAACATAAAAACTGAATACTACCGTATTTGTTATTTCTCGCTAACACAATTGCAATTCTGCAACTTTGCGCTCTCGCTAAAAACTGCAACTTTGCGCATACTGCGAATAAATGTTGCATATCGCGGCATATCAAAATAAATATGTATAATCCACAGTTTCATATAAGAATAAATGCCTTAAATATTGTTGCGCTCACGGCAGCGTTTACTCGCGTCACCGCCGAATTACTGCGCTCCGCGGAAAGAAATGAGAACACCGCGTATAACACACTTAAGTTTTATTAGAGAACGCGTTACAAAAGACCACGGAAAACGTAAAGAAATCTCGAGAGCCGATGATCCAACCTGTCGACGATTCCGAATCCGGCGGCTCACTCTTCTTTGAACCTCGCCGTCAACAACCCCGTTGCTACCCGAACAAAAGCNTCTATATCGATCGATCGTTCGACGAACATCTTATACCGCGTGGACGACACGCGCCACATCTCGCAACACTGCCCCCTCTCTCTTCTAGATCATCGTCTCGATGATCCAACAGAAGAAGTCAACCTTCCCGCTCTCTTCTAGACTGCTGTCCCAGAATACATGAGCCAGTTGACCGGAGAAACTCTTGACCGAGAATCTCCTCTGGAGCAATTTCGTCCACAAAATTCTTCCGACTTCGGACAAGGGGGAAGAAACTCACGTGGACCCATCGTCCGAAAGGACACCCCAAATCCCCGCCTCGGCATTTGCCCCAAGACCCACAGAAAACCACGCTCAAAACCGTGAGTAAGGCGGACTTCTAGCATGGCGTTCAAAAAACGAAGATCTCGCGACGACTCGATGCGAAGCAAAAAATCCCCCGACGTCCAACGACGAAACGGAAAGATTCGGGGTAGCAACAAAGTAAACGCTGGAATTAAAGAAAAGAAAACGAGTAACCAAGCTCAATTAACACAACAACAAAAACAAATATCCGTAACATTTTAAACAAAAAAAAACCAAACACCCACTAATTCTCACAGGGCTCCGACGTGTGTTCCCACCTCTCGAAAAACGAAGATAGCCTATCAGCGTGTACGACCCTATTCCTGTGTCTATCTGAGCGACAAATACAATATACTACGTCACTTAATTTCTTAACAACTACATAAAGCCCTTCCCAAATTTTCTGCAACTTAGGAGCTTTTCCTTTGCTCCTGCGAGGATTAAAAAACCAGACTTTCTGCCCAACGTCAAAAAGAACGTGTCTAGCTTGTAAATCGTACCGCATTTTTGCTTTGTTCGACTTCATCTCTAAACGCTTCCTAACATCCTGATGAACCTTCTCCAATTACGACTCTAACTCACGAATATAATCCTCTGAAGAACCTGAACAATAATTCGGCGGAGAGCCCCGTAACAAATCTAATGGCAGACGCAAATCACGCCCGAAATACAATTCAGCAGGAGTAACCCCCGTAGCCTCATGCTTAGAAGATCTGTAAGCAAAAAGAAACATCGAAACCCGACAATCCCAATTCTTTTGATTTTCGTCAACAAACTTAGACAAATACTGCAAAATCGTCTGATGCTGTCTTTCGACCTGTCCATCAGACTGTGGATGAAGAGCAGTAGTCCTTGATTCTTCATTCCTAACAAACACGACAATTCCTGAAAAAG